GGACATCCATCAACAGATGAATGGATAAATAAAAGTCTTGTAAATTAACTGTGGACAGTATGATGTATGGTAAATGTCTTGAACTTGTCTGGTTGTTGAGCTGAAGTTGCGTGTACTTTGACAAACATTTCCCCAGTGCCTTCCACTTCCAGCCTCTGGTCAGTACCACTGACTCTTTGTTTCTATTAAGTTCAGCTTCTCTAGAATCCACAAATAAAGGAGATCATGCAGTATTTTCTTTTTCTGCTTGGCTAATTTCATTTAATAGAATGTCCTCTAGATTTATCCATATCATCAAAAATAATAGGATCTCTCTCTCTCTTTTTTGAGGGCTGCATAGGATTCCACTGGGTAGCTATACTACAGTTATAAAATCCATTCACCCTTTGGACAGATACTTAGGATGCTTGCATATCTTGGCTATTGTGAAAAATACTGCAATGGACATGATGGTGCAGATATTTCTTCAACATTCTGATGTCAGTTCCTTTGGATAAATACCCGTAAGAGGGACTGCTGGATCGTATGGCAGTTTTAATTTTGGTTTTTCACCATCCCCCCATACTATTCTCCCTAATGGCTGTAGTAATTTGCATGTCCACCAACAGTGTAGTAGGGTTTCCGTTTCTCACTTCCTTGTCCACACTTGTTACCTTTCATCCTTTTCATAAAACTGTTCTTGTAGGTGTGAAGCGGTGTCTCACGTGACTTTAATTTGCATTTCCCTGATGATTTGTTATGGTGAGCATTTTTTTTCATATGCTTGCTGGCCATTTGTATGTTGTCTTTTGAGAAATGTCTGCTCAGGTCCTTTGCCCATTTTTAAACTGGGTTTTTTTTTTTAGTTCCCCTTGTAGTTGGATATTAACCCCTTACTGGATACATGGCTCATAAATACATTGTCCTGCTCTGCAGCTTATTGCTTCACTCTGATGACAGCTTCCATTGCTGGGCAGCTTTTTTGCTTGATGTAATTTCATCTATTTTCATTTTTGTTGCCTATGCTTTTGGGGCCATATCCAAAAAATGATTGATCAGACCAACATCATGGAGTTTTTCCTCTTTCTTTTTCCAATAATTTTCCAGTTTCAGTCCTAATCCATAATCCTTTAATCCATTTGAGGTGATTTTTGCACACAATGTGAGGAGAGTGGCCAACGTCTCTCTTCTACATGTGGATGGCCAGTTTTCCCAGGGTCGAAGAGATTGAAGAGATTTTCCCCCTGACCCCAGCCCATGTTCTTGGCGCCTATGTTGAAAATTAATTGGCTGTAAATGTGGGAGTGTCTTCCTGGGCTGTCTATTCTGTTCCACTGGTCCAGATGCCAAGCTTTGTGCCGGAACCATGTTGGTTTGATTTCTATAGGTTTACAGTGGGTTTTTTGTTTTGGGTAGTGGGGATCAAACTCGGGTCCTTTTGAACTCAGGCGGTGAAACCACTGAGCTAAATCCCCAGCCCTACAGTGGGTTTTGAAAGCCCTGGAAACTCTAAATCATTGGTGCAAGAATTTGAAAAAGACACAAAGAAATCAAAAGATACTGAGTGTTCAATGTCTGGAAAAACAGTTTTGTTAATAACTCCTTACCCCAAACACCCTGTAAAATCAGTGTGATTTCTATCAGAATTTCATGCATCTTTTTCATCATAGAAATAGAAAGAAGAAACCTAAAATTTGTGGGGAACCACAGAAGACTCTCAATGGCCAAGGCAATCTCAGGCAAGGCAAATAAAGCTGGAGACATCCTACAACCTGATATTAAACCCAGTTAATAATAATAATAATAATTATTAAGAAATAATAATAAGAACTTGCTATTTGAAGTATATCTGGTGATGAATGCTTTTACAAAGCAACAAATTAAAGTATATGTAAACTTTGGCCTTTAATTTTTATGTTTTATAAGTTTGAATTATTATATATTGGCTTAGTTTAGAATAGTACATACTTAAACTGTCTTTTACAAAAACTAAATTTTAATTTCTTTAAAATACAATTCAACTTTCAGCTCTTAGAGCACTGCCTGTGTCTAGTAAATGATTAATAAATGCATACATGCATGTTTCCTTGAATTTACATCCGCAATCATAAAATCATCTCTCAGGTTTAAAAGCCTGTTGGGGCCATGTGCTCATGTGTTCCTTGGCACCGAAGTGACTGAATGTGAATTCATTTCATGATTCACCGAATCCCCATGGGCCCGTGGTGATACGATTGAAACCAGGCCAACTGATGTTTTAATCCTTTCTGTCCTTCAGGAGGAAATGGAATCAAAATCTAACTTTTTGCTCTTTAGCATTTGTTACGCTGAGCTAAGATTATAGATAGAAGGTAGAATTAGATTCTTGCTAAATGGATTTATCATCTAAATTAGATATGCAGGACAGTGACCTTGGGAAATGAACCGTGGCAGTGACAACCTGGTGAGGAGCTCACTAGGAGCCTCAGCAGAGGTGCTGCACAGTGCTCTGTTGTTCACTTTTGCTGGTAACGGACCAAGGCACAGGAAGGCATAGAAGTCTTCTATTCTAGCTCTGTCTTGAACCTGCATAATTTCGAGCATGGCCCCTCTCTTCACTCTGGATTAGTTTTCTTTTCTTCCAATTAGTTTATTCCTTGCAGAGAAGTCAGAGCAAATACATGAAATAACAAATATAAAGCATTCCAAGTTCACAGAATGGTTTCTGCAACAAAATGAAATAATAATAGGGATACACTGTATGAATTTTATCTAATCATTTATGTTATAAAGCAAATAAGGTAGGGAATAAAATCTCACCATTCAGAAGTACTCCTTTCAAAATGATTTCAAGAAATAAATAACGGTACATTTAAAATAAATCAATCTATAAAAACTTGATTTGTATACAAGTTTTGGAAAATATATCTTTCCCCAGGCAGTTGGATTTAATACTCAACACAAAAGGCAATTGTTTAGAGTAAGTAAGGCATCAAATCAGTGGTATGCAGAGATATGTGGCTTTTGAAGAATTGACAATAATAAATTGTTATTAAATGAAAATTATGTAAGTGGTAATTAACAAAAAGTCATAGAGCTGTTGTATGCCTTTTAGATACTTTGTACAGTATTAAGTATACTTTCTGATATAGAAATGGGAAGACTTTCATGTCCCCAGGTTCAGGCAAAAGATCCACCTGTGTTCTCTCCTATTAAATGAATGCTGAATGAAAGGATGTTTGGGAGACCCTGGTTCAAACATCCCAAGAGCAAATAGTGATTTCAATGTAATAATTAGTATGGAGGTGCAGACAATTTCAGAATACATACAATTAGTAAAAGTACCTAACCTATATTGAAACAAATCACTGCATGTAATACAGGAATTGGATTCATAATGGGGCTGAGAGTTATCTCGAAGTCAGGGCTGCTGACAGGAGAGGGAGGAATTTCCCAGGACAGTTGAAGGAAATGACCATGTTGCATGAGGCACAACTGACACATCACCACATTCTAAAAAGGTGCAAAGTGAAGCCATGCTTCCCAGTTTAGTGCCAAAATATGCTTAGCAAAATAATACAGTATGTGTCCAGTATGGAGGACCACAGATGAGCCAACATTAAAAGAGATAGATAAAAAGATGAGCAGGCTGCTACCTTCTCCCACTGAATACATACTTTGCACATCTAAGAAAGTGGTGCTGCAGGCAGGGGAAGAAGCTGCAGCAGTTGCCCTTCGTCTCTGGAATTCCTCCAGGCCTACTTCTTACCTTCTATTCCTTGTTCCTAATCTCTTCATTTCTTGGCCCCTTTTCCTTAGTTTGACTCTGTGTCTCTCCTGCCCCTACTTTTGCTGACCTGGTTTTGTGCAGCAACTCTGCTTATCACCTTGCCTTTGAGCTCTTCCATGACATGGTTATCGATGACTTGATCATTCACCCATGAGCTCACGCACAGTATGTCCTGGGTAACGTCACCTACTTGCGTCCCCTACTGTAGCTTGGTGGGGGCCACACTAATGTGGTTGTGCTCTGAATAAACACTGTTGGGCTGTGGAAGGGGAACTGACTCAAAACTTCAGGAACAAGCTTTGAATAAGATCCAGCAAAATCAGAGCACGTATCTCAGATCACTGAGGACGATTGGCCATTCCTCTACTAATCGTTCACTACCTATGACAGGGTCTGCCTTGGTGACAAGTCTAGGTACATAGAAGGTGCTCAGGAAATGTCTGATGCAAGGATGGATGGCTGAATAAATACCATCTATATGCACCATCTGTAACATCTAAGACTGGCTACACTGATCTAAAGAATGATGGTGAGGGTGTGCATGAAATTACACTAATTAGTCTACATTTGATGAATATTCCCATTCATATTTCCTTCCAAGGAAAAGATGAAGAAGTAACCCAGCATACCTATCAGCCTTCACTTTTAGAACACCTATGGTTTAAAAACCATAGCTTTGAACATAGTTACTTGACAAGGAGAAAGCTGACTTCTGCTATGAAAGTTGCAAACTATTCTAAACCCAGGCACACTAGTATATACCCTGACAGAGGACGGTTAATAGAAATACCCGCATGCCTAAACCTTCTTCCCATTCTGGTTTTCGTCCAAATATGGAGCTGTACACTTAACTCAGAACATATCCAAAATAAAGAAAAAGGTAGAGGTAACATTCATGACCCCAGTTTCCCAAACGACAAGCTACCTAGCTGCTCTCGAAAGCTCTAGAAAGCCTAAATAAGAGTGTTTACAGATCCTGAGTTCGATCCCTGGTACCAGCACTTTGGAGTGCTGGTTTTGGTGGTCATGAATTTTTGGGGTCGGGGATTTAACTCAGTGGTTCCGCCACCTACCTCACAAACACAAGGACCTGAGTTCGATCCCCGGTACCAAAAAAAAAAAGAGTGTTTACAGAAACAACTGAGGCAGGCACCGGGCTGGTTAGTAAAGTGCCTACTGTTTGGTAGGGAAGTTGCCCTCAATGCAGTGCTTCTCTGCCCATCAACTGTGCCGTATATTTGTGTTTCTGCAGATTGAAAGGCTGGATGTGGACTGTTTGTTTAGCAACATGGAATCCGTGCATCAGGTATCAGCCAAGCTGCTATCCTTGTTGGAAGAGGCCACTACCAATGTGGAACCGGACATGCAAGTCATAGGTATGTTTATTCTCTTCTCAAGTTCTGAGATGCAACAGGAAATGATATTTTAATAACCTCCCAGTGCTTGGTTTTACCTATCTGACTCACAAAGTGTCCGAGGGGAAATATAAATACTATAAATCCATCTTCAGGTTCATTGTAATCACACAAGCTCCACATTTATTTTCAAATGGGCTTCAACCCTTTGCTGAGGTCCCGCAGTAGCACTAACCATGCCATTTGCTTTTTTTTTTTTGGTGCCGGGGATCAAACTTGGGTCCTTGCGCTTATGAGGCAGGCGGCAGAACCACTGAGCTAAATCCCTGGCCCCTCATTTGCTTTTTAATTTCCAATCTTTCAACCTCTGCTTTCCAAATGTTCTTTCATTTTGTTTTATGGTTAACACTTGGTTGACTCGTAAGGAAATAATTATTTAAATAGTTTCACATCTTTACTGATTTTAGCCCTAATGCTTTTTAGCTCATGCTTATGAGTGGATTTAACAATTGAAAATTTTTTACATGTGGAATTTATATGACTTATAAAAATCTTAAGAGGAGTTCTACTTTTTTCTATTTTTCCTTTCTTTTCTATATTATTTTGTTTTTCAGATGTTTTTACTCTCAAATAGTCACAAATATATTTTTTTCTTACTGTGGTATGATAATTAAAAATAATTATGGAAATATGAAAAATGTTGAGACAAATTTTTATTCTCTCCATTTCTTAGGAGTTCCAAAGAACTCCTTGGAAGTGGTTTGCATATCTAAGAAATTCACATAAAGCAATGCAGGATAAGAATTCTTATAAAGTTATCATTTTTTCTATTTCACATACAACAGATGCTTACCACAAAAATATTAAAACAATGGAGAAGTGAATAGAGTAAAGGTAAAATCCTTTCATACACATCTCCATACCCACTGCCTTCCCTATTAAAGGGAACCATTGTTATGTTAGATGTGAATCTATAGTTTGAGATACACACACACATAGATACAAACACAAACCTTGTATTTTTATAGCATGTGTCCTTTTTTCTTGATGGAAATAAGAGTTATACAAATGGCATGAAATTGGTCTTGTTTAGTATTCATGGAGGGCCACAGTTTAATAAGCAAAGCTGATCCTATGGGAAGGTAAAGGAAATGACTTGGCTATTTGTAGGGTTTTTACAGAGTAAAAGTCTAGCCTATTTAAAAAGAGGTTTAAATTCAGTCATTGCTTGTGGCTAAACATCCTCAGGAACTGTAAAAGTATTTTCTAAAAGAAAGGCTCTACACATAGTCACTTTAGTGTGGACTCATTGGCCACTTGTTGTTACTTCACCAATGAATAGCTATGAAGCATTAACATCTTCAAAAGGCAGGGCACTGTATGGCTTTGTTGGATATCGAAAGATGAAAGAGCTCATCTCTGTCCTGCAAAGCGCACAGTAGATGGCTCCTTGAATTGAAAACATGTGTTGAGGGTTAGTTCACATGCTGGAATCAGAGACAATTCTAGGTTTGGGGTGACCACAAGTACTGGTTTTGGCCTGTTGTTTCAGCATTCAGTCCATGTTAGTATTTGTTCTGGACTTTTCCTTTTCAAAGAAGTAGCACCAGGGATGTAGTGCAGGGGTAGAGTGCTTGCCCAGCATCACAGGCCCTGGATTAGATCCCCAGAATCACACACATAAAGAAGTATCATTCATTAGCAATAGCTGTGTCATAAGAGGTTTTCTAAGGCGCCTCCATTGTCCGTCACCTGCCGACGTGGTGTCTTTTGTACTGAGGTGTCAGAGGCAAGTGCAGTTCTCTCTGTGACACAAGGCAGCGATGGGAACATGCCCCACTTCTCCATCTCCCTCTGAAATGCCATGGGCAGGGCACTGGCCAGTCAAATGGTGACACTTGGACACAAGGTAGAAACAGTGAGCTCTTCTCTGTTCCATGGTGGTGGGAGGTAGAGATGATGCTAGAGACCCTGCCATCCATTGGGTATGGCACCTGGGTGTGTGGCGGCCCGTGCCATGACTGTGAGAAGCTGGAGGTCATCAGGATCCCAGTCAAGGGGGTCAATGGAGATTAGGTGTGAATGAAATAAATGTGTGGGGAGCAGAGGCTGAGCCGCCCTGCTGTGGAGCAGCTGAATGCTCTTGCTGCACTAGTTGGGTTGTTTACTGTTTGATGTATATCTACAACTCCTTTTATTACTTGGTTATGGTTCTTTTATTTTGCAATAAACCACTTCAGAAGCAAGGGCTTAATACATTTATGTTTAATATAAATTAAACATTGATGTTATGTTTCTTAAGAAAGTTGGTGAACATATAACACACAAAGTACATGTCTACCATAGGGCCCTTAGTGCTAACTCTCATTGTAAGACAACCAGAAGACAGAAATCTGAAGGAACAGCCATATCCATGTCAAAAATGCATCCTTATTTTAAAAAGACTGTGCTGACGTGCTGAATGCAAGCCATCTGACACACATAGCTGCTTAAAATGTGTTTGTGTATCATTCCGTGCACCATGACTTTTTGATTAGGTCAAATGACAGTCGTCCCAACATCACTCAAATTTATTTCTGAGATTTTTGCCAACCTACAAGAAATTGAAAGCAACACCACCAAAGACTTGATACCATTAGCATGAGAGTTTTGCCAACAGTTAAAGGATGACAGTTGATATCAGTGTGAGCAGCTAACTCAAATAGAAAATCAGTTAATTCTAATAAAGTTTCAAATCATTTAATCCAAATTACAGAACCTCAGAAGAGCTTTTAAGTTTCTATGTCAAAGGTGAATTGTTTGATCTGACCTTATTGCAAATACTCCTAAAAATTAACTTAAAAATTGACTATTTACAATGCAAATGATAATAATAATACAAATATTGGAGGAGCATATCATCACAGTAAAACAATTGTTTTGCTGAAATAAACCTGTGGAACAGAAGTGTACTGGAAAATTGTAGTGCATAGATAAGGAGGGTGTGATATTTTATTAATCAACATGAAAACTGTAGTCATAACTTACACATATTTTTATATACACATAATTAGAGTAAACCACAATATTTAGAGGATAAAGTTGATACTGAATTTTAAAATGACTGTATAGCTGTGACAATACACAGTTTCTTTGTTGCTGGGCATTAATCAGTTTTTAGAAGTGTTTGATTCTTTGAAGCACTACTTCATAAATCAACAAATGTTCTTTGGCACGAGGCTATTTTTGTAAACAAGGCCTCCAGTATTTATTATATTTTGTTCAGAATTGGTTGGAAACCTTTAGTTAAAGTATTTAACAAACAGAGAATATCTGATTTTTCATCTAGACAAGTTGCAGTTATTGAAAACAAAGTTATAAACAAGAAGACATTGGAATTTATCCTCACAAAAAAAAGAATGAGCTAAAAAAATTCAGACAAGAGCTCGCATTATATAAAAGATTTAATTTTGAAATTTTATAATTGTATAATAGAAAATTGGACTATGGAAAGAAGGTTTTCCCGAAGCTATAATAGGATACAGTTATATTCTAAATTACTTTTGTATTATCTATTAAAAATTATAAATAGAAGTATATTTGATGGATTTATTTTGCAAAAATAAAATGAAAGAATCCAAAAAGAGGAAGAACTTGTAAAAGGTAAAAAGACACTACTTTTAAAATTTTTAAACTCAAATATTTAGATATATCTTATATTAATATAGGTACATATAATCTGAATTTGAATATCTTATTTATCAGAATTTTCTTTGCTCTTAATAGATGCCTCTGTGCTTATCTTTTCTCAGTTTAAATTTGAGAAGTAAAATAATGCTAGTTTTAGATTGTAACCCACAGAATAAAAAGTCAACAAGCACACTGATATAAATGAAGAGAAAGTACAGCTCTTCTTTACACTAGTTTTTAATTAATACATAAAGAGAGAAAGAGGAAAATGGAAAATCACCATTATTCAAGCCCAACAATCATAACTATTGCAGTCAAAATCTACTAATTCCAGCCGGGTGTGGTGGCTCACACCTGTACTTCCAGCACTCAGGAGGCTGAGGCAGGAGGATCACCCTGAGTTCAAGGCCAGCCTGGGCTACATAGTGAGTTCAAGGTGAGCCTGAACTACATAGCAAAATGCTGTCTCAAAAAAGAAAAAAAGAAAGAAAGAAAGAAAGATCTAGTAAGCATACTATACGTAGAAGCTTTTGAAAGAGAGAGACATTTTTCAAAGTCTCAAAGTTACTTTTCATTCAATTATTAATCCCAAAGGGAAAGAGGGTGACTTCACAGTGGCAAACCCAGCAGAGACCATACTAACCAAATACCCAATAGCACCAGGAAATAACACAGGAACTGGGGTGCTCAGAGAGACACGACATCAAGTCTCTGGTATTTTGCCCAAAAAGTATATAATCACATTCATTCATGAGAAAATATCAGACATCATCAGACAAATGCAAGTGAGGGACCCTCGAAAAAAGAAACTGATCAATACTCTTCTAAAGTATCAGCCTCATAAAACAGAAAGCAAGATTAATTGTTACAGACTGCAGGTGACTAAGCAAAAATAATAAACAAAAACAAGTGGGAGATTTGGTGGAAGAACCAGAGCAGTGGAAGAATATTCATGTTGAAATTCAAATAAGGTGTTTAGTTTAGGTAACGGTTAACTTCCTTTTTAAGACGATTGTACCGTGGTCATATGAGACGTCAGAATGATACATACATAGAGGAAGCTGGTGAGGGGGGTTTGAAAACTGTACTACTTTTGCAACTTTTCTAAAGTCTAAAATTAGTTCTAAATTAAAAATTTATGCTGAGAGGCTGAGGAAGGAAGATTGCAACTTTGAGCCCAGCCTGGACAACTTAGTGACATAGCAAGACTGTGTCACAAAATACAAAATTAAAACAGCTGGAGATGTAGCTCAGTGCCCTGGATTCAATCTCCAGTAACAAAAAATAGATATATATGCTTTTTCAGAGGAAACTCAACTTAAGATGCTCATAATTTAAAATTTATTAATCAT